CTCAAAATTTCAGCCATTAAGTTTTTTTTTTTTAGTAAATGCGATTTATTTGTCTCTATTTACTGTACTAATTTTACTAGTAAAATAAAGTGCTACTGTATTGACGCAAAACTGTCCTATAAATAGCACTTTATTGGTCAATCGGACATAAAAGCATTTATCCTAACTTTGACATGCCGCCATTTCGGCAGGGTTAATAGTAGCAACTCAAAACTTCGGGGATATAATCTCAATGAGAATAGCTACCAAATGACAAATCACTCGACCCTTCTTTCCATTTGAAATTTTGGGGGTACCTGTTACCCCTACTTAGGGATTCACGAGTAGGGGGTGAAAATACCAATAAAATGTGTCCCCCAAAAAACAAAAATTGACGTGTCTGAGCGATTTTTGATTAAACACCTAACACCTGAGAAAACCTGGGTGGAAAGTTTTACGTGCCCCACCCGGTATACAATGTCTGAATAAGAAGTTTTAGCTTTCCGTAGCTGCTCTTGATTTTTCGTTGTCACTTCCATAGGCATCAAATACAATGATACAGTTTGATTCATGATAGCGTAAAACATATTTGATATATTCAGATAAAACCTCACCATAATGTGGATGGAAATTGCCAAAAAATTTTATGGAGCAGATGGCCTCCATCAATAATGACAAAAATTATTTTTCAGCAATCTTATTCAAAGGGAGGATAATTTATCCATGTAGCTAAATAAACTCGATTTCATCGTACTTCTTATTTTTCCCCCTCAAAAAGGAAAGGTGGGAACGGCGACAATTTGTACTTGAAACACTCTTTTAAATTATCCTCTGACTTAGGGCCGGTATTTCAATGTTACCTTGAAATAAAGATTTACCTAAGGTACCCTTAACGTTGAGGTAAACTTGAAATGAGTTCATTTAGGTGGCCCTAGGTATTTCAATGTAACCTTATGGGTACAGAATAACGTTAAGTCATCCTTTATACAAGTTTCGCTGTATATCAAAATAAAATAAATTTATTTCAAGTTTAGCTTAACGTTAAGAGTACCTTAGGCAAGTTTAAGGTAACATTGAAATACCGGCGAATGTAAGTGCAGTCATGTGTAGTGTAATTTTTTCTCCGAAACTTTATTTTTTCATGTTACTGCAGAATTCAAAATTTTATATCTTGAAAACGGTTGTGCCTAGAAAAGTGAAATGCGCACCAAAATGTATCTATTTCAATTCTACAAAAGAATTGCTTCTCGACATTTTTTCGAATCTCTTAAGAATTTTGAGTTATTTGGCAAAACCTAAAAAATATGCCAAAATACAAGATGGCGGTCTTAATTTCGGGACGTTATGCAACATGGACACTTGGGAACTTTCAGTATGTTCAATAGGAGCCTAAACACTTACTTCTAAAATACATCCCATCTTGATAATAATTTGTTTAGGGTTTACACGTTTCGCAAAATGAAATGTTTTTATTATTTTAATGTTCCAGAGATGATGGAGAATAGAGAATGTCTCGGACTATATCTTGATTTTCGTTTCTCTAGTTCGTGTAACACGACGGCCTTGAAATTTTAATGTCAGCGCATGCTATAAGAAGTTCCACTTCAAAACATACCTCAATTGACCAAGATAGAAAAACACCTCTTAAGAAATTTTTTGGGTTATTTTGAGCTGAGAATTTTGGAGTTTGAGCAGTCCAAATCAATTTCTTCTAAATTTCCAATATGGAAAAAGTTCAAGCTTTGGGATTTTATAGAGACATACAATCTTATTTCTCACTCTGAAATATTTCAAGCCCAAATTTTGTGGAAATGTATTTAAATGACGGAGAATTTTGAAGTTCTTTATCTTGGCTAGGGTGAAAAAAGTGATTGCAACCGAGGGTGTTAGCCACCTGTGTGTCCAGACAATTCTCACCGCCCCATTCCCCTCTAAAGTACAAAATTATGAACGTTGGAATGGAATACAATTTTTAGATTTTAACGTATGAAGACCACACATAAGGGAGACAAGCATCTGTAGAGACGTCACAAGGGTATCGGCGCCGGCACTTGACAATAATACAGGGTGACTCAGAGTAAATTTCCCTTTTCGAGCGCGTCCTGTACATCCATTTTTATATTTGTGGAGAGGTTAGCGCTGGCAATTTACGGCGACTGCTTGCGGATTATCAGTAAACATGGAGCAGTGGTCGAATAAGCAACGCGCGTTTACTGTTGAGGCGTTTTTTAAATCAAACGATTTCTATGTAGTGGCACGGCGACGGTTTTGTAACCGTTACAATATTCGGCGTATACGGGATACTCCATCAAAAAAATGATTGAAATTATGGGTTCAAAGATTTAGACAAAGTAGTTCAATGGCAAATCCGAAGCGTCACGGCTAACAGAAGTCCATCAGAACGCCAGAGAACATTGGGATTGTGCGACGTGCTGCGACCGAAAATCCGAGGCGCTCAATTCGAAAACATGACGGGACGCTTCTGATTTGCCAATTGCCACTGTACCACTTTGAATCTTTGAACCCACGATTTCAATACATTTTTTGACGTAGCGTCACGTATACGCCGGATATGGTTACGGTTACAAAAATGCCGCCGTGCCGCGACATAAGAATCATTCGATTTAAAAAACGCCTCAACCATAAACGCGCGTTGCTCGTTCGACCACTGATCCATGTTCACTGATAATCCGTACGCAGTCGCCGCATATTGCCAGTGCTAACCTCCCCACAAATATTAAGTTGGATGTACAGGGCGCGTTCGAAAAGGGAAATTTACTCTGCGTCACCCTATAGTTTATAATCCTTGGCTTGTGTCAATTATTCGTCGGCTGTTTTTCTCCGTCCCTTAACGTTATTTGTTTTCCCTCTCGTGTAACGAAATTTACCAAAACGTCTTTCAGATCACTCTCCATTCTCGTCCAAATATCAGACCGCCGCCTAAGAAGTTTCACTTGAAAATATTGAGTTTTGAATTTTAATTTCAAAATCTTCAAACCTCTATTGCTCCGTAAGCGTTGGCCAAATTGCATTGAAATTTCTAGTATTTGTAGCTCCTATTAGGTTTTAAATGGCCTGTAATTTATAATATTCCCAAATTTATAGTTTTTGGAACTAAGTTTGAAGTTTTTGATAAATTTGGACTAAAAGTCAACTTTAAGGCTTAATTGCTCAAAAACTGTTTGAGCTATCGAACTCAATAGAGAATTTAATGCTCTTTCCAATGGCATATAATTTATTATTATTATTATTCATTTGAATTTGCTCGAAATATAACAAAAATATGGCAATTGTTCATGACCATGTCAAGATTATCAAAATTTTCCAGAGCCAAAAATAGGATTTCTTTTAGAATTTTGTTTCTGCTTGAAATGGCTATTTGGAAATGATGGCAGGGTTGTTTTCCACTAATTTTGACCCACTCTATCGATTGGAAGAGTCAAAATTGAGGAAAACTGGAAAATACAAAAATTGAGTTTTTCTTAAGGGTACCCTTTTTGAATTCTGTTTTCAAAATATTCAAACCTCAACTTTATTGCTCGGTAACCGTTGAGCAAATTGCATTGAAATTTCCAGTATTTGTAGCTCTTATCAAGCTTTAAATGACCTGTAATTTTCAATATTCCCAGATTTATAGTATTCGAGAAAATGAAGTTTGAGTTTTTGACAAATTTGGACTGAAAGTCAACTTTGAGGCTCAAAAACTGATTGAGCTATCGAACTCAATTTTGCGTAGATTTATAGAGAATTTAATAATCTTTCCAGCAATACATAATAATAAGGGTACCCTCTTTGAATTCTGTTTTCAAAATATTCAAACCTCAATTGCTCGAGAACCGTTGAGCAAATTGCAAAATGGAGTTTGAAGTTTTTGAGAAATTTGGACTAAAAGCTAAAAGTCAACTTTTAGGCTCAATTGCTTAAGAACTATTTGAGCTATCAAACTCAATTTTGTTTTAATTTGCTTGAAATTTAAAAAAGATATGATTTATTTTGAAGTGAAAACTTCTTCGGCGTCGATCTGATAATTGGACGAGAAAAGAGTGATTTGAAAGACGCACCACTTGGGAAATTTCGTTACACGAGAGATAAGAAAGACCTAACGTAGAAAGACGGAGAAAAATAGCTAATGATAATGACAACCGACGAACGATTGACAAAAATCAAGGATTATAAGCGAGGAGGATTGTCTATCATTGTCATGCGCCGATACCCTTGTGACGTCACTACAGATGCGTGACTCCCTTTTGTGTTGTCCTTCATCTTTACCCCGACTCAGACTCCCCCAACTGTTTAAAAGTTGTAAAAGGGAGGATAGTTTGCACAGGTGGCAACCCCTCTCAATCGGCCGCCTGTGTGTTTTGAACACACCTACACATGGTAGCGGCGGTCCTACTGTAACCAACTGTATATTTGTGTTTTATTGCACCCTGTGCGCAAAATTAGGTCTTTTTGTGCCATTTTATATTTTATTTAATAAACTGTTAGAAGGAAAAAGTCTAGTCTTTGAAATTATAGTAATGGAATTTGAACTACTGAGCAAAAATTCCTTTTCCTTGAAACAGTACTTAGACATAAATTGCAATATTAATAAAACAAAGCCTTATCACTCCTCAATCAAAAAGAAAAAAAACCTCTGCAGATCTCATCGGTTATCTACTTACAAAGCACATATTTACATTAAAATCTATTAGTTGGTAATTATGTCGACTTACACAACAAAATTATTGACTTTTCAATTAATAATAGTGGAGCAATAATTAATGGAGACTCTTAAAGAAACATTATTTATCAGTTGCAAATTGCAAAGTTAGTAGATCAAGATTAAAAATAATACGCACCTTTCTTGGACTGTCTTCGATTTAATGTTCGAATCAACAGCCAACTTTTCGACACTATCTAGTCACTGACCACTGAGCTAGTGTCTCCAAAACGTTGACTATTGATTCGAGCATTAAATTGAAGATAATTCGCGAAAGCTGCTATTGATTATCACATAGTTCTCTAAATGTTTCCGTTACCTTGGGCAGGGCGGCCAGGCACTGTTGTTTAACGTCCCAAACGAGCTGATCCCTCGGGAATTGCAGGCACTTTTGCACGCTCAGCTCCGGTACGTGGATCCGCACCAGCAGGTACTCTGACGGATCGTCAGGACCGCTCATCCGTAGCTCGCCCTCCTCCTCCATATCGACCTCTATCTCCTCACATCTGAAATAATTTTATATTTTTTGTATATTGTTTTTGTCCATTCGAACACTCACATTGTAGATGTAGAACTATTATTGCTAGTGGTAGAAAAAGAAAAACTATGGATTCTTGTAATATGTGGTATAAAATCCGTCTTCTTGGATTTCATATTATTTTCACTTCACCAATACATTTTTCTTAAGTAAATAAAGCCCGGTACCACACACGATCGCGATCTATAGGGTACTAGTGGTACTAAACTAAAACTAACGCCGATGATTGTTCCACGTGAACGAGCAAAGTATTAACTGACAAATAAAAGCTGACTTTGGCGGTCTCAGAGATAGTGAATCTTGAAACCTCACACTGAAAAGAGACGGCAAATGAAAGACACCTCTTCTAATCTTATCTTATCATAACAGAGATTCCACGTACCTATATAGTGCAGGTTTTTGTTATCTTTTGGAGAATAAACTTTAGAAAAATATTGTTCGTAGCCGGTGCATTTTTCAAAGACAAATGTTGAAATTAATTTTCAGGAACGATGCATAATGATTCGTATTATGCAGAAGAAGGAAGATGAAGACGAAATGGATTATATTTTTGCTCTTTTTTTGTGTCAATGAGAAGACTATAAGGTTTGGATTATATTAGAGCTTGACAAGCAAAGGCAAAATTGAAAATTGGAACTGCCTTCATGTCGCTATTTCGATTATTAACCCGCACAATGCGAATCTACGACGCTACGTCATGCCACGACCGGAGAGATAATCATCTTGGATCGTCGATGCGAAACCTAACCACCACTTAGACACGAAATCACATCTTTCCCTCAGGAAATATTCATTTCAACCTGCTGCTTAACGAATTTGAATTGGAAATCATCGCCGACAACGACGACGACGATGATTTTCTAATTTAGCTGCTGGGGGTTTCAAACAATAATATGCATATACGGGGTGTCCATTTGCTGTCTCGGGAACGACTAAATTAGTTAGTAGTTATTGTTCTTATTTTGACTACATATTGCCAGCTTATGATGTGTTATGGACGATTTTTCTACAGGCAATCAAATCTAGTGTAAATTTTGATGACTTGCTTGTCATCAGTAAAATAATCCAAGAGATCAAGAGCCGGTAATCAGAAAAAATACATTATTAATTTAAATTTGATGGTTTTGGACATTTTTAAGTCAATATAAATTTCTGATCGAAAAGCTACTTTAAATGTGTTATTGAAAATTCGAGTTACGGGTTGGAGTGAATAATTAATATGAAAATTTCAAAAGATTGGTTCAATATTTCAGAAGTTGTGATCGCGCTTGTTTGGGTAGCCAATCTTATGACAAATCTGAGATAGCAATAGTGGTAGCATCTCAAATCGACACCCTGTATAGAACAAAACGAATATTCCCCCTTTATTTTACCAAACTATAAATATGCATAGACAGTGGCGGAGCTTAGATGCATTGAGCCCCTAAGCAAATATCACAAATAACTCTCCAGTTTTCCAGAGAATCAAGAGCCGATAATAGTTCAAATTTTGATCAATATCAACATAAGAGCTGCTGATGATCATTCGAAATGTTGATTATTATCAGCTCTTGGGCTTTGACTGCCCTTAGAATTCTCTAGGGAATCCAGAGTTAATAAAAGTTCAAATATTGACTATTACCGGCTCTTGATTGGCTCTAGGAAAGTTTTCCAGAGTGTCAAGAACCGGTAATAGTTCAAATTTTGATTATCTATGGCCGTCCATTGAATAATTTTTTTGGAGCAACTAAATACTGCCACTGTGCATAGATAGAGGTAGGTATAAATGCAGAATCGTTCTTTATAAAATACATGGACTATTACACGCTCATATAACAATTTTTCCGGGATCCGACGCATCAATCTTCTCTGCGAAAATGTAAAACGACTGACGGTTGGGAAAATTAAAATACCCTCGAGCTACAAATATTCAGTTTTCCAATAATATACATAAGAAAGGTTGAATTTCATTTGATAACCACAGGGAATATTTCCCTGTACATTTTGAAACTACATATATAAAAATAACCATTGGAAGTGTATTTCAAAGCCTATTATTATGTGCCAGATTCTATGCAGAGAACATACAAAAATCTGATAAAAGTGTTTAGCTTTATGCCAATGTAAGAAAAATAGTATATTATATACCTAGGTAGAGAAGTTGGTCATTATACAGGGTGTATCAGGTATGAGTGAGTACAAATATTTTAACAGTAGAGACTATGGCCCATTTTAAGCTAAAAGTGTCCTATTGGGTCAATTGTTAGTATTTTCGGCATCATCGCAGAATTTAAATTTAGAAAATTGTTAACAATGTGACAACATTGTACAGGTATTATCTCGGCCAGGATGTAAATGTTAATAAAACCGGTAAATTTGAAAAGTTTTTTTTTTGCACGGAGTTTATTTATTTTCATCTGTTTACGTTTTGGTTTGTTATTGGCTTTCAAATAATGTGAATAGAATAATAACTTGAATTTTTATCATTTTTCTGGTAAAAATAAGAAATGTGCCGTTTTATTAAGTTGTCAATTGCACTCAATGACATTTTTGCACTAAACATTCGCAAGAAAAATCAAATAATACTTACTCAGCTACTTGCCAAATCCTTATTATGAAAATATTTTTGTTAGAAGGTTCTCAAAACACTAAAATCAATACGCAGATTTTGCACACTCTCACACTTCAGGTATCACGTTATCTTTGTAAAACGGGCACAATGTTCTTTCATCAGGTGGGTGCTTTTCTTTTGGAAAATCTTTTCCTGGTTTCCCTGTAAACTCTGGCGGCTAAATGAGCATTTTGCAACGATTCTGCCTAAATAAGTATCTGCATATTCGATGTTTATAAACATTTTATTTTCAAAAAAGAATGAATTTGAATTACGCGTGTTTCCCAACTAGATAATAGATAAGACAAATCAAGAATCAATTTATTTAACATTCAACCACCTTTTCTTTATTGTGCTATGTTGCCAGATGTTTAGATACCGATTTACAAGTGAAATTTTTATGTTGTTTTTTCAATTTTTTGTTATTGTTGTTCACTAAAAATGCATAATTGAATAATCGAATTTTTTTTACATCTCATAATGATTAAAATTTTCTTTATCTTTACAATATTCGTCAAAAAATGTCAAAACTTCAAAGGCCTTTTTCTTAAAAATGGTTGAGTTTGGACCCCATATATAAACTTTTTTTGTTCAAAATGGGCCATATTTTCACATGTTAAAATTTTTGTAGTCAAACCTGATACACTCTGTATACCGAGCGCTTTTATAAACCGAGGCGCGAAGCGCCGAGGTTTATAATGCGTAAGGTATATAATGACTTTCTCTACTGAGGAAAATATAGAATTTATTTTACTACTGCCAGTAGAAAATAAAAAATAGGTTTAAAATCTGTGCCCAAATTATTTTTTTTGAACGTCTTCTTGAAAGTGCTGCCTTCTATTAACAGCTTATGGTAACTTCCTATGTACAGGGTATTTGATTATATTTGGCACCATACTACAGCCTTTACTATTTAAGATAGAAAAAAAGTGTAAATACAAAACTTGACAGTTTTTTTCTATATTTTCTTTTAACGTTATCAGAAAAAACAAAATTGCATCGGAAAATGGAGAAACGTAGACAACTTCGACTTTTTTAAATGGAACACCTTGTATATTTTGCGATAAAATTGAAGACCTTTTCTTCCTGATTACAAATATATATGTATATATGTTGATCATATTTGTATGAGCCATTTTTGACATATCTCAGCTCAAATTATAACTGAATTGCAAAGAAATTTTATAAAGATAGAGATCCTTATGGAACTTCTCTGCAAATTCTTTATAATTCAACCTGAGATATGTCAAAAATTGCTCAAGCAGATGTTATCAATATATATATATATATATATATATATATATATATATATATATATATATTTACAGAGTATCTTGACCGGAGAATTTATAAACAATGGGAGTTTCTTGGGGTATCGGTCGTCTTGAAGGGCTAGGAAATAAAAATCTCTTTTTCCACTAAGCCGAGCTTTCGTGGAAAAAGAGATTTTTATTTCCTAGCCCTTCAAGACGACCGATACCCCAAGAAACTCCCATTGTTTATATATATATATATATATATATTTGGAATCAGAAAGAATAGATCTTTAATTTTATCGCATAATATACAGGGTGGTCCATTAAAAAAGTCAAAGTTGCTTACGTTTCTCCATTTTCCGATGCGATTTTGTTTTTTCTGATAACGTTATCAAAAAATACAGAAAAAAACTGTCAAGTTTTGTATTTAAATTTTTTTTCTATCTTAAATAGTAAAGGCTGTAGGTATGGTGCCAAATATAATCAAATACAGAAACCTGTTTTTTTTTTTTAAATTGACGTATGAAATTGAAATTAGGCCAATAGAAACATGACAATATGCTTGCCTCATGACGTCATTTTCATTATTAACCTAGGTATTTTTTCATTAATTCCATTATTAACCTAGGGAGAGAAATTCAATTTTTTCCAAAAAAATTGATTGAATAATGACTATTTTTCAGGTTAGTAATAAATTATTCGTCTCCCTCTGGTATTCACGGATAATAATGCTTTTGTTAAGCAAAATTTTATTATTCTATTACTATACTTTGATTTGCAGAGTTATAAGAGTACAAAGCTGTCAGTACTTCAAGTAAATTACTTGGAAAATGTATTTCAATTACTTGTCAGTATTTGAAGTACTAGAATTCAAATACTTTTGTTTTTGGATATTTGTACTTGATTCTGCAAATACTTCAAATAAAGTATTTGCATTTGGTACTTGGATTTACAACAAAATTAATTCAAATACCATTTGTACTTCAAATACTTAAAATATTTCAAATACCCCAGAAAGTTATTCAAATACTTCACCAAATGTGAAACTAACATGTCCTAACAAGTAAAAATGCTACATCAGCAGATATGACTGACGATTTTTTCGAATTGGATGGTTCCCACTCCCCGGAGAGTCTTAAAAATAACAATAAACGAAAATTCGAACTGGAAATTTCTCAATATGTAAAGGATACCAGTATAAATTTTTCTGAGATTGTAGTAAATTTCAAGTTTTGCCTCGGAAGTTTTCTTAAAATCTGAGATGTGAGCTGGTCTTACAAATTTGCTCATAGTTTTGGTAATTCTCAACAAAACTACTTGATTGGGCTTCAAAGTTGGAATGTGATTGAAATTTTACCAAAAACTTCAAGATCAAATAACTCAGAAACCACAAATGATAAAAATATTTTCTGAATG